CTGGGGAAGTATTACCCCCTGATTCTGAAGGCAGCGTTGCCAGGCTGCCCTTCCCGGGTCACAGGTGTGCACACAGGGGTCCTGGTGCCGCCCACTGCTCGGTGCCTCTGCTGCTGGTCCAGGGTCCGAATCCCACGGTGTGTGCGCTTGGGGCCAGCTGTGGACGAGGAGCTGCGTGGCCCCCAGCACTACCCACCCACCAGCTGGCATCCTGCCTCTGTGATTGGGGGTGCGCGTGCTAGGGGCCAGGAGGCAGGGGCCGTGGTGGCTCCCGGGGGCTTTCCCGCCCTGAGAGCACCCGGGAGGTGGTGGCTGCAGAGCAGGTGGCGGAATGCCAGGCTGGAGGTGGTGTTTGTCGGCCCCAGTGCAAACCCGCTGCCGTTTTCTGCCTGATGCCTCCAGAAACGTTGCCGGTGTCAGGTGCCTGTTTCAATGTCTGGGGTGAGCAGTTAGGTGAAGTATGTCCCAGCGCTGGGGCGTCAGGTACGTCTGGGTGTTGTCAGGTGAGAGGGGAGGGGGAGGGGCCCTCTGCATGGCTGTCAGTGTGCACACACCGGTGCGTGTGCGTGCGTGTGTGCGTGCGTGCGCGCGCGCCCTCGGGTGCGTGTGTTTGGGGGCTGCCATCCTGAGCACTGGCCCCGAGGATCTCAGTGTAGCTTGTGTTTTCTTTAAAGCAAGAGGCCCTGTGGCTGAGAAGCTGGATTACCTTGTGAAATCTGCCCCTCTCTCCCGCTTTTCTTTTGGCTCCGACTCTCTCCTAGAACTTCTGCTTTTCCTGGTTGTTTTGTTTTCAATTGTGGTAAAATACAATTAACGTGAAATTTACCATCTCAACCATTTTCCAGCGTGCGGTTCAGCAGCGTTAAGAACGTTGACATTGTTGTAGAACCAATCTCGAGAACTGTTTCCATCAGCAGAACTGAAAGTCTGTTCCCGCGAACACTGACTCCCCACCTCCCGCTCCCCCAGCTCCTGGTGACCAGCGTACTACTTCCCGTCCCTGTGAAGTTGAATATGACATACTTAGGTACCTTATATGAGTAGAATCATACGGTTTTTGTCCATCTGTGACTGGCCTGTTTCACTCAGCAAAATGTCCTCAAGGTTCATCCACGTCGTAGCATGTGTAGCAGGATTTCCTTCCTTTTTAAGGCTGAATCGTGTTCCATTGTGTGGAAACGCCCCATTTTGGTTGTCCGTTCCTCCACTGATGGACACTTGGGTTGCTTCTATCTCTTGGTTACTGTGAACCGAGCTGCCGTGAACATGGGCGTGCAGGACTTCTGGTTCTCCAGTCTGTCTAGTTCCATTGCTGCAAGACTTGTAGGCCTGCTGGGGCGTCTGTCTGGGGTATCAGTCCATCTGTCTGTCAGTTCTAGGAACCGGGAAAGGCCACCATCTGGCCAGCTCTTCCTGCAAACCTGGGGCTCCCCTCTTGAGCCCGTGTCTGTGCGTTGGTCTGGTTAGGGAGGGCATCCCCTGTCCCCATGCACAGATGAGGACGCAGGAACAGGTAGCTGAAGGGACCTGCCCCAGGCTCCCTTCTGGGCAGTGGCAGGGCAGGCGTTGGCCTGCACGGCTGTCGTGGGGAGCTTGCCCTCTGCCCGTATCAGATGCTGGCGCGTGTGGTCGGCGTCAGTGGGCGAACGCACGCGTGGACCTGAGCCGTCTGTGAGCTGTGCAGGGGCTGTCCTGTTTGCATCTAGGGTCCCGGGTGTCAATAACCAAGTCACAGAGGTGCCTACAAGGCCCTGTCGTGGCTAGCCAGCCGCCTTTCCTCCCACTGGGACTGCAGGGCCCGCAGAGCCCACGGATCACATGGGCCCCGCAGATAAGTTCCCTGCGTCCCTGGAAAAGTCTGCTGACCCCTGAGTTAGTCCTGCACAAGTGCTTTTCCCATTTTCAGCTTCATTACGCCCAAAGTACAAGGCATTCGTTTGCAGACAGGCCCCAACTGAGCCAGTTAACGCTCCTTCTAAATGGACCCCTCCTCTCTGTTCCCACAACACCATGGAAGAGATCAGGACGTCCGCAGCTGGGAGACACCAGCGTTCCTCCTGAGAGGCGCACCCTGAGAAATTAGAGCAGCCCAAGGCCCTGGGTTCTGGGGGCACGCCTCGTTTCGGAAGGCCTGCCGCCCGCACGCGTGTGTACGTGCACGTGTGTTTGTGTGTGCATGTGTACAGGCGTGTGCCCACATGGCCCTCTCCTCAGCACTTTCTGCTCCCCTCCTGCCCCCTCTGCCAGCCTGGCCCCCCAGGTTCCAGCTGAGGTCCCCTGCCAGGGTCTGAGTCCATCGTCCTGGCAACCCCCTCTTAAGGTGCAAAGCTATTCTCTCCCTCTCCCTGTCCCATTCCCCTCTTTACCTTCTGTCCCCAAATCTCCACCACGAGGGAAGATGCTACCACTAGGGACTTAGGGAAATAGCACCTGTTACGGGGTGTCCCAGCTCCCATCAGGAGCACCTGGGCCCTGCCTGACACCTGCCAGGTCTTCCTGAAGCCTGGATCTTCGAAGAGCCAGTTACACTGGGCACAAAATGCCCTTAAATCATCTGGGTGGGGGGCGGAGGGGATAAAAGTTAATCCTTGATACTGACAGGTAGGCAGAGCCTTCACAGCACAGGATGGCTGCTCCCCTTACTGGAAAATGGGTGGTGGGCTCAGCCCGCTTCTCTTTCTCCACCGAGTCCGGTCTGGCCCAGGTGCTGCTGTAGGAGTGGCCTTGGGCTGTGACATCAGCCTGCATCTGTGTCTCCTTCTAGAAGAGAGGGGTCCTGAGGACTGGGAGGGGCCTCGAGGGCTTCAGGCACCGCACTGGGATTTACACACACCTACGCACAAAGTGGATCTGGAAAGACCACAAAACAGATGACAGGTGGGAGTCCTGCAGGGGTGCCGGGGCCAGCCTGGGGTCAGTGGCCTTTCAGCCTATCTCAGCCTTCAGAAGATGCCAGGCCAGTGCCGAGGGAGAGCACGGGCAGCTGGGCTGGAGGGGTCCTGTCTGGGGGTGGAGAGTCAGCCCCTAGCCAGTGGAGCAGCCCGGCCAGGGCCGGGATGGGAAGGGGCTCTGACCCAGGTAGGGGCCCCAGGTGGCGTTCGTCACAGGGCATGGAGGAGGCCTCGCAGCGTTGAGCCTCGCGGTGGGAAGGGAAGAACACCAAGCCTGGGGGAGGCTGGCCGTCCTGCCTGCACCTGCGCCTCCTGCGGGCAGGCCAACCTTGACCTTGTAGGAGGCTGGCCAGAATCATACGAGGACCCCTCAAAAGCCCTAAAAAGCTCCTGGTGGCATTTTTGGGTTGAGGAAACCGTACAGACCAAGGCCTCCGTGGGTACAACGAGGCTGTCAGGTGATGCGGGGTGTCCCCCGGGCACTCAGGGGACAGGGTCCCACCAGCCTGGGCCTCTCCTCCCACCAGACTCTGGGCTCGGCCTTCCTCATTCTCAAACACGTCTGGTACAGGGCAGCCTTCAGGCAGGACGGCTGGGATACTGCTGCAAGGGGCCCAGGGTAGAGGTGCCTGGCAGAGGAGGACAGGGGAGACCTTCAGTGCGGGTGTGGCTGTTCTCGGGCAGCCTCGGCCCCAGGGACGTTGCCGGCTGCCCTCGGCTGGGGGTGGATGAGAGGCCTGGCGCCCTGCCTGTTCCCTTCCGCCCCAGCCTCTCTTGCTGCAGTGCTTTCATCCCCCCCCCCCCCCCCCCGTGGCTCCCACAGGGCCCCGGGGACCCCCCGGGGGCAGCTGCCCCCCCCCCCCCCCCCCCCGTGGGCCCGGGGGCTGCTCGCCCCCCCCCCTGTCTGCATGGACCCACCTTCTGACACCCAGTGTTTAGTGGATCTCACACACACGGGGGCTGCATCATCTCTTTCCATTTGTCGGCTGGTGAAATCACCACCTCCCCGTGACGGGGGAGCAGTGACCGTCTTCACTGGAAAGAGGAGCAGAGTGGCTGCTGGCGAACCTGCCAGATCGGCTTTACCTGCACACCTCCCGGCCTCCACACCCCTGACCCAGGAACAGAGGCTCCGGGTGGCTGGGGCAGGGTGGGGGGGCAGATTCCAACCAGCGAGGGCGGTGGTGGGAGGTGGGGGGGGGGACGGGTCTCCCACAGCCATTTTCAAACGCATTCCGTAACCTCCCAGTTGGTGAGTCGGCAGACGGCATGTAGGAGCGTCTGCCCTGGGGCTGCATCCTGCGTGTGATTAATTCTTCTCCCCGTCGTTGGGGGCTGGAGGCGACTGGCGAGCGTGGCGGGGACCCTGTGCTGACCCGACCACCCTCCGCCCCCGTGTCGCTTAGATCTGCAGCCTCATGCGCGGGGGCATCGCGGAGCGGGGCGGCGTCCGCGTGGGCCACCGCATCATCGAGATCAACGGGCAGAGCGTGGTGGCCACGGCCCACGAGAAGATCGTCCAGGCGCTGTCCAACTCGGTGGGAGAGGTGAGAGGTCACTGCCCGAAGCCAGAACCGGGCTCTCGGAGCCCAGATGTTTCCATGGCCGACATCTAATCCCCGAGGGCGTGTATAAGGTGCTGGGGAAGCACCCCGGAGCAAAGCCTCCCTTCTGGGCAGAGCCTGTCCCTGTGGGGACCTGGGCACATCTGCTGGCTGGCGTGCTCCCACCCGGACCTTCCTGAGCCTCCTCCAGGGGCTGCATCAGCTGAGCACGGCTGTGTCTCCCACGGGGGAGCCTTCTCAGGCGGGCTCTGGCACCCCCTCCTCACCCCGGGTAACTGTGGCTGATGGGATGGGGGTGGGCATTCGCAGGCCGGCCCTGCTGTGCTCCCCTCTCCCACCCTGCTGGCTGTACCCCGCCTCCTTTTCTGCTTCTTTCTGGCATCAGTGTGATGCCATGCCAGCGTGAGGGTGGACGGGGTACAGAGCGGGGAGCTCAGGAGGGAGCAGGGTACCTCAGCGGGGGACGTAAGATGCTGGGAGTGGGGGTACCAGCCCAGTGCTGGGAAGGAGGCCTCCCCGGTGCGGGTGTGTGTGTGTGTAGGTGCGTGGGAAGCGGGGAGTCAGGGTGAATGGGTGAGTATCTCCCTGGGTGAAGCCTGGGTGACAGCAGCGCAGAAGGGGCAGACAGCGCTGAGTGGTGGGTGACACGGGACGGCTGTGGAGGCAGGTGCTGGGCGGGGAGTTTAGGTTTGATTCTGAGGGCGGTGGGGACCCAGGGGCTGTGTGGGGAGAGGGCACGGCTTCCTCTTTGGAGGCTGGTGGGGGGAGCATGGTGCTCTTCCCTGAGGGGCCTTCAGATCATGTCCGGTCAGGACACCTTTCCTGGGGCCACGGTAACCCACTCAGTATTTTGTGAAAGTCCCAAGGCTGGGGGAGGAGGCCTGTTTCCCTGCATGGGTGGTGGCAGACAGCAGCTCTCAGGAAGGAGGAGGCCAGGTAGGCGCCGTTAGCCTTCTCTTACAAATGGCTTCAAAGAAAGGAAAATCCAATTGTCCTAAGTAGACGCCTCGAGACAGCCGCCCCGCTGGGGCCATCAGTCGGGCGGGGGAGCTGGGCTGGGAGCGGGAGAAATGCGTCCGACTGTCTGGACCTGAGGTGAATGGGTATCAGTCAGGCTGGGCCTCAGGCCCAGGGTGTTGGAAGCCGGTCCTGGCTGGTCCTGAGAGATGAGCTTGTCTGCCTGTGTTTTCCATCATCCCTGAGCACATTCGGAAAAGGAGTCACCGATCACTAGATCTGGTGTTTTGCTGGGCCTTGGGGGTGGGTTTCAGGTTGAGGAATTAGAATGAATCTGCTGATGGGAAAAGGCTTCGCAGGCTGATGAAGGAGCAAACGTCTAAGTGGATCAGACAGATCCTGGTGTTGGGGGCCGGGGGGGGAGCCTGGGTGACAAGAAAACGCTTCGGCCAGACTGGCCATCTGGGTTGGTCAGATAAGGCCTGAGAACGGCTTGCCCGGAGGAAGGGCAGGCCTGGGGGGTTGGCTGCACACCCCTGGGGGTGGCTGCACCTGTGGCCGCCTCTCCCTGGGCGCTGGAGGTCTGCCAGCCCACCCCCTAGAGCCACGGTCACCCACAGGGGCCTGAGCACGGCTGGGTCCCCGGCTAGCCTGCGGAGCAGAGTGCTTAAAGGAAGCAGAAGCAGAGCCCGGGGCCCAGGTGGGATTTAGGGTATGTGCCCCCCACGGTTGGCCTCTCCGGGTAGCCGTCTCTGTGCCTTGCTGGCGTACCCAGCCTCTGTGGTGCCAGGGACTGAGGTCAGGCCCCAAAGGCTCATTTGCTAACTGACCCCCAGGGGCTGGGGGGCTCCAGGCCTCCGCCCGCCGCACACGCACTTTGTGTGTGAGCCTCTCGGTCTCATGCCGAGGCAAAGCTTGCCCCTTGCAGTTTCCAAGGAGGCCTGGGCGCCCCAGCCTGCCTTCAGCTCGGTGCACAGTCAAAAGTCCAACTTTTTATGCACCTGGTGTCAGCTTGAGCTGAAGGGAAAACGGCCCTTGACCGCGTGTAAAACCCTCTGAAGACCTGGACGGGGCGCCCAGGTCACAGTCTGCGCAGTCAGGGTACGCTCTCTAAGCCGCCATCGGGGTGGTGACCACGGTGTCGACTTGAACAAATGCACAACGTGAGAGTTGTGAGTTGTTTTATTTGGGGCAAAATGAGGACTGTAGCCCAGGAGACAGCATTTCATATAGCTCTGGTAAACTGCTCCAAAGAGGCAGGGGGGAAGGTCACTGTGCATGTGATTTTGGTGAAGGGGGAGGACATGCAATGGAGCACGTATTTTTTGCAGGAGGTTCTGCAAGTCTCCTGAGGGTTACAGCTAGTCATGAGCAGCAGACGTCACCAGGAAGGATCTCGGTGTTTTTCTAGATATGAGGAGATGTAAGAATTGGGCTCATAAAATGGGCTCCTGAAAATATCTCACTATCTGAAGACCTGTTCTCCCAGTTTTCCCCAGAGCACAGAGGGCCTCACTCCTGATCTCCACCCTGAACTTCTTTCAGGGGGTGTTGAAGGTCAGCAGCTGCAGTGGCACCTGCTTCAATCCTTGTAGAGGTAGATGGCAAGTGCCCGAGACAAGTGCCAATTTGTAGCTGACAGCCCACAGGTCATTCTTCCTCCCCTCTGGACGCTGGTACTTTACACAGGACACGCTCAGGGGACTTGGGCATCGCTGGCCTCGCATGCGGGGGGCGGGGGCGGGAGGCGGAGGCAGGGAGGGCTGGGTCAGCCCCTCTCTCTCATTGGCAGATCCATATGAAGACCATGCCTGCCGCCATGTTCAGGCTCCTCACAGGCCAGGAGACCCCGTTGTACATCTAGGCTGCCCGCCTGCACCCCAAGGAGTGGGAGCCGGACCCAGGACCCGACCCCTGAACCCACAGCCCACCTGATGACACTGGCTCCTCCGAAGGGCATGCCCTCACCACCCACTTTTTTTTTTTTGGACCAAAAGGGGTCTTTATCCAAGGAGAGTCACAGGAACCAGTCTTTGTAGAACAGTCACGTATTTTGCCACATTCTGAATTTTCTCATTGCGACGGACAAGGGTTTGTCTGTACGTCCGTGTGGTGTGGAGCCGTGGAGGGCGAACGTGGGTGCCCCCGGATGCGGCTGTGCGGGGAGCCCCTCGAGGACAGCGCGCTCCAGGGGGCAGCAGCGGCGTGCCCCCGCCCTCGGCTGGGGCTCGGGTTCCTGCGGGGAGGGCGCCCGACTGCCCTGATGGCTGTGTGGGCAGCCAGCTCTCAGGATGGGACTGGTCACTGAAGTTGGGGGACACGTGGTTGTATTTCCCGAGAAAGGAGACATCCCTGAGTTACGTAAATGGTGAGATCCACAACCTCAAAACTCCACGCCTATTGAGACAACACCACCATTTTGACTTTCGACAACAAACTGCTCTTCAGTCGTTAGGATCTTCCGACGACCCGTGACCACGTCTGCCGCCCGTGCCCGCCTGTCCGCTGGCCCCTGGACGCCCCCGGGCAGCCTCCCACACAGGCCGGCGGCCTCGTTACAATCTCTGTCTACACACACGCATCCACACGTGAGCTCCCCCCTCGGAAACCAGACCCTCCCCGGACACCTGGAGCCTGCTATCCCCGGGGGCCTGCGCGTCCGGGTGCCGTCACCGTGAGCAGTGTTCCAGTGCGTGTAGGTCAAGTGCAGCATAGTCTAGATCCGCCCCGCAGAGCTCAGTGTTCACGATGTCATTTTGTCCGGAAGTCTCTCTCTTTGGCCCAGGCCTTGAAGATACACTGTGACTTAAGAAGCCTTACCATGCAGTAACTAAGCTCTAGGACCACTGGATGAGGGTGACCTGTGTGTTGCATGCAGCTGACCTTGGGAAGACTCGCTAATACCACTAATAAACCTGAGGTCATGATGGAAAGCTGTCCGTGTGGCTGGTTTGTTGACGGAGAAGTGGCCGCCCAGCTTTCCTCTAACTCCGCCCCTCACAGCCCGGCTCCGGGTGGGGGCCTCCCTGCCAGGTCTGAGGGCTCCAGGCACCATCCCCGCAGGAGACAAGCTCCTGACTAATTGGATGAGGGACAGTGGGAGGCTCGGGCTTCTCCTGGTTCAGATGGGAATCATCTCTGGGAGAGGTGTGTGCGTGTACAGAGCAGAAAGCGGCCCACCTATAGCCTGGCTCCTTCCCTGGGGCCGCCCTGCAGCCCGTCTCACCTGATAGCAGGACTTGGCAGTGCTCCCATCACTGACTGCGTTCTGTGGTCACCGTCCTGGTCCCGGTGTCCCCTGGCATGGGGATCTGGTCAGAAGCCCTGGGCGGTGTTCCAGCATGTTATCAAGGGACACTGGGCAAGCCGGGCCCCTTCTCTGGCTGGGATCTTAGTTCCATGCTGTGAGCCACTAGGCAGGGATGGCCCACACCCTGGGGTGAGAGCTGGAGGGAAGAGGCCTCGGCTCGGGGGGGCCCAGGGGTATGGCCCTGCAGCGCCCAGAATGAGGCAGGTGAATGGGCTCCGGAGAGGAAACCCACGGCTAGCAGATGACGGGGGGCAGGCGTCCCTTCATGTGCTACACATTTCAAAGAAAAAAAAAAAGAGAGCTTTAAGTCAAGGGCCTGCATTCCTCCCAGAAGCTGGGGACACGTCCCACAGAGGGACAGCTGTGGGCCGGGCGCCTGCCCGCTCCCCTCACACCCCCAGGGTCTGTCTCCAGAAGGATGTTAGGGAACACAGTCAGGTGCCAGGGGTGGGTCGTGCTCCGTGGTCGGTCGTCCGGCCTGAGCCCTCGCTTGGCACCTGGTCACCAGCAGTACACACGGCTCTCGGCATCTGTCCCGATCAGACCTCAGAGACAGAGGCCAGAAATAGTTTTTATTAAAACACTGATCATTATGAAAACACCTTGAGGTACATTAAATAAATACAGCCTGCCAGTTGTACAAACAGGCTTGAAAACAATTTCCTATAAATTCTGCCTTAATAGCAGCATCTGTGGATCAATACAGCTGTGGGGGAGAAAACATCCATTCGAAATAAGCTTTCTTTTATGTGGTTTGTTACACGCATTTAATTTGTGTCATTGTCACCAGCTGAAGAAGCCCTTAAGTCCTTGTGAAGGATAAGCGCCCCCCTGTTTGCCATAGAGTAGGGGTCTGGAGTTCCTCCAGCCCAGCATCCTTGTGGTCCCTGGGTGGGGGTCTAATGGCAGTGCCAGACAGGCACTGGCTCTGTGCTGGCCCTCTTTTTGGTGGGGGAGGTCCAGGAGAGCACAGGCCCCGGGCCCTGTGCAGGGGGCATCCTGGGCCTTGGCTTCCAGCGCAGCCCGTGGGGACCTGCCTGCTGACGTGTTAACGAGAGCAAGGAGACCAGGGCCGAGCGGACGAGGACGCACCAGTGACGGGGGGACACTGCCTTTCCCCTTGGCTATGAGCCGACACAGCCTGGGGCTCAGGGCGCTCGATGCCGGGGCTGCTGGTTCCCAGGTGCCGCCGAGCAGAGCGGGGTTGAAGGTACCCGGGCTGGGGAGTCAGACCCCGGCCCGTTGCCAGGCACCTCTCTCTTCCCGGGACCTTTCCTGGGAGCCAGGTGCCTGGGCCCTGCAGGAGCCGACGTGGGCCCTCAGAAGGTGTCAGCCCAGTGCTGTAGAACTGGGTACAGTGTACTCACCCGCAAGATAGAGATGCTGTGAGGACACGTGTGAGGGCCGAGCACTTGAGAACGGCCGGCCGGTGGGCTTCAGGCCAGAGCACCTACCTGCACCCAGGGGGAGGCACAGGCTGTGGCAGGTGCTCGGAGGCAGGAGACATGGCGCCCTGCAGGGAGGGGAAGCAAAAGACACAGAGCAGCAGGCCAGGCCCCCTGGAGGTCACCCAGCCCGCGGCAGGGTAACAATTCTGATGCCCGTGAGGTGGGGTTGGACGCAAGGGCTGGCCTCACTCGAGAGGCAGCCTGTCTGAGACCTGCAGGCTTGGCCCAGGGCCCTGCCGTGAGCCCCCCACCCAGGTGAGACCCCTGCAGCCTGCTAAGCTCTGGTTGCCACCCCAGAGATGCCTTGATGCCGAGGCCAGGGCGCTGGGGCCATCCATGCTTTGCTGGGAGGCTGAGGGGAGGCCCCTTGGAAAAACCATCAATTTACTTTACCTGCAGAGAGATTTACTTTTGGGGACTTCAAAAGCCCTCAGTTGAGAAAAATTAGAGTAGAGATTTCCCGTTTTATAGTCTGGATAAAGTGCTCATAAATTCTCCTCTGTGATGTCTCGAGCGGAGAAGTTCCGGCTATCATCACAAGGCCTGATTTATATATTGGTCCAGCTCTCACCTCCGGACGGCAGTGACCGTTGATAACATTAGGAAGCAAAGCATTGGCAGCTGACGAGGGGCTCCTCGGGGTGTCTGGCAGCCACACTCCAGGATGGCACAGGTATCCCCGTGGCTGCAGAAAGTCCTTGAGGACAGCGCTGCTCCACGACCCTGGTTGGGAAGCAGCTGCTGCTGAGGTTGCCAGAACAGGGCGGCCCAGGGGTCCTAGAAAGTCCAGGGCACCCAAGCTGCTGTGGCGAGGCTTCTGCGCACCCAGCTCGAGGTGGGGGTGGTTCACGGAAAGGAGTGGTCGACAGGTGGCATCTTCCAAAGCACACGTGGCGGCTGCCGCCCGGCTGGGGAAGGGGCTGCTCTGAGTCATCAGAGACCCCTTGAGGCCAGTCTGGCGAGGGCAGATGTGGGAGAACCCCGGCGGCTCGCCATGGGGGCTTATTGTTACGGGGCAAATAACTACTCAAAGTGCTCTGTGCTGAGCTGGCTAAAGAGACAGTGGAGAGACAGCCAGAGAGGAAGCTGGGAAAATGCCCTGGGGCAGGGAGAGGCAGGGAGGGGTTGCCCGGGAGACAAGGTGTGGGGGTTGGGGGTGCAGGTCCCTCAAAGCCCCTTGCCACAGGGTGGCCGGGCCCCCCTGGGGAGTCCCTCATTGTATGTTTGTTCACAGGGTGGCCCTGTCGCCCTGCGGGCATAAGGCTGGACCCCCGCTGCCATCTGGGCTAGAATGACTTACTTTCTTAAAAATCAGCCTCTAAGAAAGGGTTGATCATTGATTCAAACTGCAAGGGGAAATGGGCTCATTGCCTGATGGACTCCTCTACCCCTTTAAACACTAAACTAAATCGGGGTGGGGGTGGGGACTGGGGTGCAGGAGAATCCTGCTCTTCCATGGCCCCGATTGTGAAGATACTTCAGTTTCTCTAGCTACATGCGTGTCCCCTGCCACTGGATCGCTGTCACGTGGCTAGTTCAAGGTGCTACCTGCCTGACAACAGGGAAGAATTCACGATGGACACGAGAGAGTCATCCACTGTATCACTGGGACAGGTAGGAAGCGTCAGCCCCCAGAAAACAGCCGATGGGGTCCCCCTGGAGGAGGGAAGGGCCTCCGCCGCTTGATCCACCCGGGGAAGCAGCCTCTCCCCACAGGCCCGGCGTCCCCGGCAGGGACTCTGGCACCAGGTCTGTCCATGTCCACATCCAGACGGAGGCGCCTTCACAGCTGGTCCAGGACACGGGCGCTGAGGACGGCCTCCTCCACGTGGCACTCCTCGGAGGGGATGGCCGAGCGAGCGGAGCCCACCACGTGCCTCACCTCCACGGGAAGGGAGCAGCTCGAGTGTTCCAAGAACTTAGCCACCAAAACCCTGGCGTCCGCGTAGGCCTTGCTGTCCACTAAGGAGTGCGGCCGCTCTTTGGAGACTGTCTGTAAGGCCTCTGGCTTTAACCGCTGGTCCGTTTTCCAGGCATCTGGTTCCCTGGGGGGTGAAAGCTGGGGCCGACAGGCACAGGCAACCATGACAGAGTGAGACAAGGAAGCTGAAAACCAAGGGAAAATGCACCATCTGAAAACACCCGACACAAAACAGAAGGCAGCCGTCCACTAACTTCTCCGAAAAGCAAACACAGGGATGCTTGGGACAAGCTTTCCGCTGGGATTTCTGTGTTCCCCAGCTGGCCGTCGCTTCGCATGTCCCCTGGCATGGCCCGGCCCCTCGCAGCCCTGAGTTCAGCCTGCAGTAACCTAGAGGGGCCGCAGCCTCCTGGAGCCGAAGGCTGGAGATGGGAGGGCAAGATTCGAAGCCGGCCAGCGAGAGAAGTGCAGGGCGGGGCAGGGGTCTCCATTCCGTGTGCCTCTCTGCTGGAATTCCCGAGCTCGCAGGGGGGCTGCCCCTTCTCAGCCTTCCCCAGCTCAGTGACCTTCGCCCTTGTGGGTTGGGTGGCATTTGGAGACACGTCTGCCTTAAAAGCAGAGCTGGGGGTGGCAGAGGGGCAATGAGAGTGCCCTCCCCACGTCAAGGGCACAGACAGCAGCCACCTCTCACGAGGCAGCAGAGTCGCCCGAAGCCCAGGGCCTTGTGCTCAATGCTCCCCAGGCCGAGGGCAGGGAGACAGAACCAGCTACCAGCGGGCCCCAGCCACTCCAGATGACCCTCCAGAGAGAGAAGCTCCGGGCGGTCAGCTGTGACCAGCTCGCCAAGCACCAGATTAAGACCCGGTTGCTCAATCTACGTTTCAAGTCACACAAGGAAACACGTCCTGGGTGGTCTGGGGTATTTCTGGTGGCAGCGAGCAAGCCTGGCAGTTAAGCGTGTGAAACTGTGTAAGATCCACACGGGGGCCTGTCTCCCCTCCAAAGAGAATCTCGTAAGTACAGTGACACAAGCAGCCGTGTGGTGTTAAATTAGCTGTAGCCTCTAATACATCTGCCAAAAGAGCAGGGGAGGCAGGGCAGGCCCACCTTCCAAAGCCCAGACATCTGGGGCATCGCGTGCCTGGGTGACCCTGGGAGGGGCTGTGTTTAGACACAAGGCAGCCGAGGACCTCTGGTCACCCCTGCCCCCCACACTGTGGTTATCAAAGGGTTTCAGAAAAAGAGCGTCTCACCGGTTCCCCGTGCAGCCCGGGACAGTCCTGCTTCAAGATCCTGGCTGCAGGATGGGGTGTGTGACGAGTCATCACCTGAACCAGAAAGAGAATTCAGTTAACACACAGCCGGGGAAAAGGAATTGCCGATAACACCGGAGTAACCCTCCTGAGGATAAGAAATGGATTTCAGATGCAAGAGCAGCAGAGGAAAACTCCTGAACTTAAGCCAGCCGGCGCCCAGGTGGCTCCCACCCAGGGCAGGTGGCGTCCCCAGGGCCCGTCACTTCCTCAGCGTGGCCCCGGGCACAGGTAGCAGGCCAGTGCCACTGAGAGAGGAGGCTGAGGCGACAGGGCGGTGAGTAGGATGCAGGGGTGACGACTTGTGATCAAGCCACCGCAGCAAGCCTGGTGGGAGCACAGCAGGGGCCCCAGACTGTCCGCCCCCCTTACAGGCTCTGGACATCGAGATCACATTCCCCGTGTGGCCCTGAGGCAGGGCCCAGGGCTGGACTCCACTCCCAGCGGGCACCGAGGCCTGCAGTGTCCGGGCAGAGCCAGGCACGCCCTGGGGACACGGGGCTGGGCCAGCTGTACCTGACGCCCTGGAGGGGCCCCACGAGGTGGGGTCGCTGGCAGAGCGGGCCACGCGCCTGGGACCTGGCCGCGCCCGCGTGCCCTGGGGGGGGCCCTCAGGGGATGTGCGGCGCGGGTGTGCGGCGGGCAGCAGGGTGCCCGTGGGGCCGTCAGAGGGTGGGCGGCTCAGGCCCGGCGTGGCAGTGCCCTCGGGGGCCAGCAGGCTGGAGCTGTCGGCCGGCGCTGCAAGGCAAAGGACACGGCGTTAGCGCTGGTGCTGGGCAACTACCAAGCCGCCACCACGTGGGACAGCGCCGCCCACGTGCCCGTCCGCCACCCAGGGTCCTCCCAGGGGGTGGGGGCAGCCCAGCCTCCAAACTCCAACCCTGGACAAACCCTGTCATCTTGCGGGTGTGGAAATCCTGCCCAGGCTGATAGTGCTCTGTGTAGAAAGCATGGGGGGACCAGACGATCCCCCAAGAATCATTCCAGGAGGGGTACGGGTCTCCACGAGAGACTCCAAGTCAGAAACCAGCCGCGTCTCCCATCCAGGGCATCCCCTGGGGGGTCTGAAGTACAGGAAGGTGGGGGTCACGTGCTCAATGGGCAGGGCCCATGCAGAGAGAGGTCGGGGCTCTGAGGGACCCCAGGGCACCCTAGCCAGGCACCGGTGCCCACCCCACGCAGGGGGTGCAGCTTGGGCCCAGAGTCCAGCCCCTCGTCAGGCAGGTGGGGTAGCCCAGCCGTCTGAGAACAAACCGCCCCCCCCCCCCCCCCCCCCCCGCCCGCTGCAACTGTGCCAAAAGGCACATCCTCAGTCCAGCCCTGCCCGGCTCCGCGGGTGGGCCCGGCCATCAGGGTTTGAACAAGCCCCGGGGGATTCTGATGCCCCGAGTGTGAGAACCGCTGCTCTGGACCGGTCATGTCATGCCGCTTACGCTGGGCTTTACCCCTTGCTTCTCCGCAGGTGGCACCTGGGGTGGAGGCTGGACCAGAATCTGTCTAAACAGGGTCCCCAGTGGACCTGTATACACATCAGGGCTTGAGGAGCGCTGCCCTCTACCCTCTTCTCTCCCATCACCAGACCACCCCAGGGCGCCCCCCTCTAAGGCTCCTCACTGCCCCCCTCCCCCCACTGAAGGAGATGTTCAAGGTGAGTGGCCCACGTGGGGAACATATGCTAAGAACCACAGCAGCCTGAACTCTTACAGTGGGGGAGGCTTTGAGATCTGTTCCTTCCTCCCCTTCCTGTGGGTCCTGGGGGCACTTCTCTGCTCCCAGGGGCCCTGCGAGCCCCACATCTGTGCACATGTCCTGTGCCCAGGGCCCACCCAGTCACCCCCAGCCCACAGCCGAGGAAACTCTGCTGAGAGAGGGCGGGGAAGAAGGTGGCAGGCCACCGAGTGGGAGCTGGCGGAAAGCGGACCCATTCCGGAGCACACGGGTTCGGCGCCCCCCTATCCCCCACTGTCTGTCGCTGCCCTCCTGAGAGATGCTTTGAGACCATCAGTGCCATGAGTCCACCTGGAACAACAAAGATGAGACAGACCTCACATCTCACATGCAAAAAAACAACAACAACAACAAAAAATTCTTCAGGACGATTAATCCTTTTCTTCTTTAAGATACCATAAGAGTAGAAGAAAATATGGGAGAATAAATCTACTGCCTTGAGGGGGTGAAAGACTTTGTAAACATGATAGAAACCATAAAGGAAAAGCTTGATAAATTTGACAACAGCAACAAAAACATGGTAAACTTGTGTACGGCAAAGGCCTCATTAACAGGCTTCAAGAAGCAAAGCCTGAACTGGGGAAGCAAACCTGCCATAAATAGAGTCACTCTTACACATTTTCTCACTTCTCTATTTAACAAATATTTTTCTTATAAACCAAAAAAGCAAAACAAAAACCAAAAACAACCAGAAATAAATAAATGCAACAGAAATAAATGGACCCAAAACAGACCTACAAGTTGATGATAGATATGTAAGAAGGTGCAGAAACTCAATCCTATGTGTGTGTCAAGTTCACCTACAAGGATGGTAAAGGTCCCCAGGAGTGACAATGTCTTGGGGTGTCACAAACACTCTTGGTGGGAACATAAACTCGTCATAAAACCCTTCCAGGACACAGTGTAGTCAATACATCCAAGTCTAAAATACACATTCCCCTGGACTCAGCAATTTCCCTCACTGGAATTTATCCCAAGGAAGTAATTGGTCAAGTGCTCAAGACCAAATGTATAAATGTAGAAAAGAAAATATACTTTCCTGTCTCCTTAGAAAACTTCAAACCTAGACATTGTCATTACTAACACTCTCAAAATCTTTTCAAAAATCACCCAGCAAGTATATTAAAAGTCTTTTGAATAATATTCATTCCTTCACATTCTTTTTGATCCCAATTCCCTCTCTCTCTCTTCCACAGCTTTACTGAGGTATAACTGATATGAAAAACACCTGTGCCTATTTACTGTATATAATTTGATGAGACTGGACATATGTACACACCCTTGATCCCAAGTTTCTTTTTTTTTTTAATTTAATTTTTTTTTGTGGCTGCATTGGGTCTTCATTGCTGTGTGTGGGCTTTCTCTAGTTACGGAGAGTGGGGGCTACTCTTCACTGCGGTGCACGGGCTTCTCATTGGTGGCTTCTCTTGTTGCAGAGCACCGGCTGTAGGTGCATGGGCTTCAGTAGTTGTGATGTGTGGGCTCAGTTGTTGTGGCTCGTGGGCTCTAGAGCACAGGCTCAGTAGTTGTGGCGCACGGGCTTAGTTGCTCCGTGGCATGTGGGATCTTCCCGGACCAGGGCTTGAACCCATGTACCCTGCATTGGCAGGTGGATTCTTAACCACTGCTCCACCAGGGAAGTCCCCCAAGTTTCTTAATGTCAGTGAAAATCCAGTGGTTGAGTTCCTCAAGGAAATGCAAAGAGTCATGAGTGACAAATGTGACCTAGCTCTGAATATAAGTAATTAATAGAAAACTTATAAAATTAGGACAGCATTACAGGAAAAGCTTATGGCCCAAGGCTGGTCACTCTCATTTCTGCACACCCTCCCCTCCAGGGTTGTGTCATGTGCCTACATTTTTATAGAAGTCATAATCATGGTGGACCTCCAGGGTTTCACTTAACGGATCGAAAACATTTTTCCTAATAATGTGTAGTGATATATTCAGCTTGTGTAACACATTTTCCTGAACTCTTATTAAAGGACTTCATTGTCCCCCTCAGTTTTTACTGTTATGGAAAAGGCAACAACTTATCTGCATGCTTACTTTTCCTTTTTCTGCATTACTCCCCGGGGGTGATTCTAGAAGTATGAGCACATCTAATGGCATAAATATTTTCACGGCTCTGCATCCCAAACGCTTTGCCAAAGCAGTGGGCTGACTTACAAGCCACCAGTTAGGGCCCCCATGTCCTCATCACTATTTTGTTATTTTAACAAATAGCAAAACAATATTGTTTAAAAAGACAATAACAGAATCTCCAAAAAAACAAAATTCTAGAGCTAATAAGTGCACTCAGCAAGGCTGCAGGATTCAAGGGGAACACATGAGTGAATCCCCTCCTATTGATTCAGAGTCAGTCCCATGTACTGACAATGAACACGCAGAAACCAAAGGTGTAAACCCAGTGCCATCAACAGCTGCTCCAGAGAAAAATGAAACACGAAACACACACACTAAGGAAAGCTGCCCAGGATCTGTATGCTGAAAACGATACCATGAAACCAAAGCTCGAAAACCATGGAGACAGACTGTGTTCACGCCTCCGAAGACTCAGCTTTAGAAAGATGGCGATTCTCTAAAATATGGCACAAATGAACTTATCTATGAAACAGAAACAGACTCACAGACATAGAGGACAGACTTGTGGTTGCCAAGGGGGAAGGGGAAGGGAGAGGGATGGACTGGGAGTTTGGGATTAGCAGATGCAAACTAGTACATATAGGATGGATAAACAACAAGGACCTACTGTATAGCACAGGGAACTATATTCAATATCCTGTGATAAACCATAATGGAAAAGGATATATATGTATAACTGAGTCACTTTACTGTACAGCAGCAATCAACATTGCATTGTAACTCAACTCTACTTCAATAAAAAGAGAAAGATGGTGATTCTATCCAAATAGCTGTACAGGTTTAATGCCTGTCAAGATCCCAGCAAGGGAGACTTCCGTGGCAGTCCAGTGGTTAAGACTCCATGTTTCCAACGCGGGGGCCATGGGTTCGATCCCTGGTCAGGGAACTAAGATCCCACCGGCCGTATGGCCAAAGCAATGATAAAAAAATAAATTAAAAAAATGAAACACAAATACATGGAGGCTAAACAGTGTGCTACTAAGTAACCAAGAGATCCCTGAAGAAATTTAAAAAATACATAGAAACAAATGACAACAAAAACACAATGACCCAAAACCTATGGGATGCAGCAAAAGCAATTCTAAGAGGGAAGTTTATAGCAATTCAATCTCACCTCAAGAAACAAGAAAAATCTTAAATAAACAATCTAACCCTACACCTAAAGCAACTAAAGAAAGAAGAACAAAGAAAACCCAAAGTCAGTAGAAAGAAATCATAAAGATCAGAGCAGAAATAAATGAAATAGAAACAAATAAAACAATAGCAAAGATCAATAAAACTAAAAGCTGGTTCTTTGAGAAGATAAACAAAATTGATAAACCTTTAGCCAGACTCATCAAGAAAAAAAGGGAGAGGATGCAAATCAATAAAATTACAAATGAAAAAGGAGAAATCATAACTGACACTGCAGAAATACAAAGGATTATAAGAGACTACTACAAACAACTATATGCCAATAAAATGGACAACCTGGAAGAAATGGACAAATTCTTGGAAAGATACAATTTTCCAAGACTGAACCAGGAAGAATTAGAAAATATAAACACACCTCTCACAAGTAATGAAGTTGAAACTGTGATTAAAAATCTTCCAACAAACAAAAGCCCAGGACCAGATGGCTTCACCGGTGAATTCTAGCAAACATTTAGAGAAGAGCTAACACCCATCCTTTTTAAACTCTTCCAAAAAATTGCAGAGGGAGGAACACTCCCAAATTTGTTCTACAAAGCCATCATCACCCTGATACCAAACGAGAAAAAGATATCACAAAAAAAGAAAATTATAGACCAATATCACTGATGAACATAGATGCAAAATTCCTGAACAAAATACTAGCAAACAGAATCCAACAACATATTAAAAGGATTATACACCACAATCAAGTGGGATTTATGCCAGGAATGCAGGGATTCTTCAATATAGGCAAATCAATCAATATGATACACTGTATTAACAAATTAAGGAATAAAAACCATATGATCATCTCAATAGATGCAGAAAAAGCTTTTGACAAAATTCAACACCCATTTATCTCCAGAAAATGGGCATAGAGGGAACCTACCTCAACATAATAAAGGCCATATATGACAAATCCACAGCAAACATCATACTCAATGATGAAAACCTAAAAGCATTTCCACTAAGATCAGGAACAAGACAAGGACATCCACTCTCACCACTCTTATTCAACATAGTTTTGGAAGTCCTAGCCATGGCAATTAGAGAAGAAAAAGAAATAAAGGGATACAAATTGGAAAAGAAGAAGTAAAACTGTCACTGTTTGCAGATGACATGATACTATACATAGAAAATCCTAAAGATGCCACTGCAAAACTATTAGAACTAATCAATGAATTTGGTAAGGTTGCAGGATACAAAATTAATGCACAGAAATCTCTGGCATTCCTATACAGTAGCAACGAAAAATCAGAAAGAGAAATTAAGGAAACAATCCCATTTACCACTGCAAAAAAAAGAATAAAATACCTAGGAATAAACCTACCTAAGGAGGTGAAAGACTTGTACTTAGAAAACTATAAAACACTGATGAAAGAAATCAAAGATGACATAAACAGATGGAGAAATATACCCTGTTCTTGGATTGGAAAATACAATATTGTGAAAATGACTATACTACCCAAAGCAATCTACAGATTCAATGCAATCCCTATCAAACTACCAATGGCATTCTTCACAGAACGGGAACAAAAAACTTTACAATTTGTATGGAAACACAAAAGACCCCGAATAGCCAAAGCAATCTTGAGAAAGAAAAATGGAGCTGGAGCAATCAGGCTCCCCAACTTCAAACTATACTACAAACTACAGTAATCAAGACAGTATAGGGCCTCCCTGGTGGCACAGTGGTTGAGAGTCCACCTGCCGATGCAGGGGACACGGGTTCGTGCCCCGGTCTGGGAAGATCCCACATGCCGCAGAGCGGCTGGACCCATGAGCCATGGCCGCTGGGTCTGCGTGTCCGGAGCCTGTGCTCCGCAGCAGGAGAGGCCACAACAGTGAGAGGCCCGCATACTGCAAAAAAAAAAAAAAAAAAAAAAA